AATTGTAAAGGGTAATCTTAACTCCATCACAGCCACTTTAGGCTTTAGTTTTGGCGCTTGTCATTTGTCAATATGTGTGTCGATATGTGTGAGCCAAGTCATTGCAATTTTATGAGCCTAATGACGAATACACACCCCGGAAAAATGGGGGTGATGTGTGTGGTTGTGTGTGTGGGAGGGTCTGGAGATTGTCTTCGATCCGTGATGAAATCGACGAGCAAATGCGGTTTTTCATTATGTCAGCGCTGAATGTCAAAATGGATTTTCGAACATGTCTGCCAACTATATGGCCCCCTCCCCTCCCCACCCCACCCGAAAACCCCCCTTTACATTAGATTTTTTTTGGGCCTTCTCTCACGTTTAGTTTGTGTGCTTCACTTGCAATTATTCATAATTCGTGGGCTCATAAAAATAAATGGCCTGCTTAGCGTAATTGCCATAATTTTGTGTGACTTGACTTTTGCCAGCCGAAAAAAGAAAGAGAGGGAGGTTTTTTCCCATTCATAGTCTGAGTTTTCCTGGGGGTTGCCCTTGCCCTGTTCATTGTTTTGATTTTTGTTGTTTCCTTTTCTTTTTTGTTTGTCCATTGACAAACCGGAGAAAAAGTGGGCGTGTCTGCAGGTCGTCTGGAATTAGCGACACATGTGTGCCCTGATCCTGATTCCTGAATCCCGTTTCCTGTTTTCCTCTTTTCTGGTCTCGCTGCATCTGTTGATCGGTCGGGAAAATTCCCAAATCAGGTTGTCTGAGTGGGCGTGGCATTAACGATTTTTGATGGACACAATATGATGTGCGGTTGACACGCTGGTTATGCTCTATCTGTCCCAATCACGGCCAATTAACACGCTCGTTAATTGGCCCAACTTAAATCGAACTCACAACTGTCACAATTCGGACTGCATTTATTTGGGGTGGCCCAAAAACGGAAATTCTATCAAAGTCGGCCTAATAAAAAAGATTTTATGGCAGTAGCTTTCGGAATAGGTAGCCTGATAATAAAATGGATTTTTATTGCAGTCATTTGAGGTATATGATTTGTGTTATTCAAACGAGGTGGTAAGCTAGGGTAATTCAAATTTAATAAGAATTCCAGCAGCTAAGAAAAATCATAACACGGTCAAATAAAATCGTGTTTTATATGTATATTTTTTTTTACTTAGAATACTGCATTTTACAATTACATTCATATTTCTTTCAAATTACTTTAAAAAATATATTATTAGCGTTTATGAGAAAATCAAATTGATAATCAATGGTTAAGATATATTGTTTAGTTTGAAATTTGAAAAAGTTAATAAATTTGGATGAAGAGATAAAATAAAAAAGGCGAAAAAAATTAAAAGGAATTGTTTTAAAACAATTTAATTCGCTCTTATAATTTGAAGAACATATTTTTACAACATGACCAAAATTGTTTAAAATTCACATATCGATTTTATATACAAATTCTGAATAAGTGTTATGATTTCGTCTGAAAGAGCGCTTCGAAAATAGATGCAAAGTACGCATATTCCAGCACATCATCCCACGCCAATTTGGGCTCCCCACTTATCATTACTTTATTCCAAATGGCATGGAGCAGTTCTTCAATTTCCTGCCTGTCATTCCCTCAGTTTTCATATCCGTCCATCGCCATGCCACCCCCATTACACCTCCCCCTTCTGATTTTCCGCCCACGCCACTGCAGCCATTTGACAGACAAATCAAAGAGACATTTTGAGCGGAAAATTCCCCACAAAGCATCCCACATTCCACATCCAATCCGAGCTGTTTGCGGCCACACGATTTATTTCCCTGCGACGCCGCCGAATTTCCCACTATTTCATTTCCCTGCCTGGCTGCTCTTCGTTTAGCACTGATTTGGATATTCGAAAACAATTTGTTTAGGTCTATGCTTAATTTGTTAGACATGTTTAATGTTAATTAATTTATGCATATCACTAAAGTTATTGTTTTAAATTCAGTTCAAGTTTTAATGTGTATCACCATTATAATTATTTTTCTTAATGTGTATCACTAACATAATTGTTTTAAGTTTAGGAATGAAACCTTTTAAGATTTCGTAAAAATGTTTATACTTGCTTTGAAGTTTTATATTCGAAACCTAAATATTTAATAAATAAGATTTTTAATTAATATTAAGTTAGATTTTTTATTTTAGACAATAAAAATATGATTAAAAATGCATTATACATTTCGCAATGCGATAAATATCAACGTTTTTATCACTACAACATATTCAATAAATAGAAAATGGAGAATATAGAAAATTCTTCACTACAAGCAAGGTCCAATACTTTGAATTATAACAAAATAAACATTAATATATCAGGCCAGTTATTCATTCTGTTAAATTGGAGATTTTTATCGATTTACGTCTTAGGTAGCGGTACGACATTTGTGCAGAAAACCCTAATTTATTTTCAAATCTTGTCAGTTTCCACAACGATTTCCATCACATTCACTCGAATAAATTCTGATTAGCTAAACCTCGAAAAGAACATAAAAAATATACCCCAATTCCCTTATGTTTCACTCTTATTATTCGCTCATCATTCCCCTCTCTACATTTCATTTCCTGTTGGAGCGCAAAAAAAAAGTTTTTCCTGAAACCTGAGAGCACAAAACTTTTTGCTAGCACAAAAAATAATTAAAATTCATTCGTTTGATTTGCAGGGGGAGGGGGGTGGTTGAGAGGGTGTGTGTATGGGAGGGGGGATGGAGTGGCCCAAGGACATGGGCGCCGTTGGGGCAAACTTTTGCAACAAACTGTAGCAGAATTAATTAAGTTTCGGTACGCATGGAAATTTTATTAACAAACTGATAGCACAAAGGGTAGGGACAAGGGGCAGGGGGTGGGTGGTGGGTCTTGGGGTGTAGGGCTTTTCTGGGTGGTTTTTTTGGGGATGTGCGTGTCGTTTTTCGCTTTTCGCTTTTCGGCCACTGGCGCTGTAAGTCATTAATAAAGCGAACACCAACCGACAGCGTCAACGTTGCACATGTGACAGGCGGTGTGGGAAGAGCGGAGTAAAAGTACCAGAGCGAAAAGTAAAGGGATCCACAGTGAGAAAAACCCAGTATGGAAAGTTAATAACTATGAAATATATCCAGGCAGCCATTAAAAGTTAAAATTTAATTTCAAAAAATATATCCTGCAGTATCATGATTGTCTAATTTGAGTTTTTCTTTCTAAACTTTTAACTTTTAAAGTCGTTATTGAGATGTCAATTCTTAGAAAAATCTTCCAAATCTAGAAAACCAAATGCGATATATATTTTGTATAGTAGAAGTACCATATCCCTTTTCTCCCAGTGCACGAATAGGGAAGTGGGCGGCAGAAGAGCGGGGGGCGAGCAATTAAGTAACCTGCCAACAAAACATCTGACAGATGAGGGGGCGGCTGTGGGGGATGTCGGGACATGGGTGGTACTTTTCGAGGGGTATTCCATACAATGTCATTGATTGCCAGGCCAGAGTTTTCCGGGCATTGGGGGTTAAGGAGAGCAAATGGGTTAAGTGGCACTGCTCTGCTGGCGCTCAATAAAATGAAAATGAATGATTCATGCGCAGCAGCAGTCCCAAAAAATGGGGAGATGCTCTGTGGATTCGAAAAACTGGAACGAGGCGTTTATGTCAACAAATTAAAGCAAAATGGCCAGTGTACGTGTTGCTGAAGTTGTGCATATTAAACAATGGTTCTTTATTAATTGATAACGTTAATAAAGCACTATAAAAACTATGGAAAAACGGTAGTCAAATACATTTAACATTTCAGTGTATTGTCGAAGCTATAATAAATAAAACAGATCACAAAAAAATGGTAATACAATATTTTATCTTCGATAATATGTAGTTCAAATGATGTAAATAATATAGAATTTAAATATTTGATATTTTGATATTCAGTACTTTTGATGTTAAGTTTTTTGCAAAAGATAATGACAATTAATTAAACTTTTAAGTAAAGAGTGTATTAGTAGATATGCATAATTACACATTCTTTGATTCATCTTAAAATATTTATAACTAAAACGATGGGAGTAAAACAAAATTAAGTATTACAATTTCTGTAAAGGTTTTTTATTTAATAATCAATTTCATTGTCAGCAAAAGACTATTTATAATGAGTTTTCCTCTCTAATAGATTCAAATGGATTTTGTTGTTGGTTTCTAGAAAAGCTATGTGGAAAATGCTAACAAAGTGTTAACAAATCGTACAGAAAAAACATAGCAATCGCTTTTAGGCTAAGCAGCCTCTCCCTTTTGGCTAATTAATTGTTAACGAATTTTCATTTTCTATTTGTCGCAAGGAAAATTGCCATTTATGGTTATGGCGAAGCTCGCAATTTCCCAGCAGCCGGCAGAGCGGCGGCAGAGCTGCGGCAGCGACGCCGGCAGCGGCAGCATAATAATTTGATGTGCGGCAAATTGAAAAAATGCCGCATAACTCCGCCCTGGAAAACTCCGTCGCATACAGTTGAAGAAAATTGAAAACTCTTCAAGTCGTTTTTGGCAATGGCGACGCAGCGCCTTAACAGCGGCAGCGGCGTCGGCAGCACAGTTGCTGAGATTTCCCCCTATTTTCCAGCGGGCCAATGGAAGCTCGCTCCGAGTGCCATCCGGTTGTCTCGCTCTGGCGGCAAAATGGCCACGCAAGGTGAACAAGGAGAGGGGCAGAGCGATGGAGAGCGGGCAAGCGGGAGAGGCAGAGAGCAGAGAGAGCGACAGCAGTTGATCAAAATTGAAACGGCACATATAAAAATTAAGTGGTTGTTGCTGCCGCTGATGAATTTCCCTCTCGCTCGCACTCACTCGCGCTCACTCGCACCAAACATGGCAACAATCTACCCGCTGGCTGCCTCTCGCTCGCACCCCATGCAAATGTACATGCATCTCGCTCGCTCCCCGTCGACGCAGCGCACTTTCCTGGGTTTCCTCTTTAGCTGCGTCGATTGCGCTGCTCAGTTCAAATTGAATTTTCATTGCGAGCGCGCGTCTCTCGCTGTCGCTCTCGCTCACTCGCCCATCGCTCACTGCTCCTCGCTCCTCGCCCATCGCCCACTCGCTCTCCCGCAAAAGCAAAAAAGCTGATAAACGCTGGAAAGGCTGACACAAAACCAAACCGAACTTGGGCCCAAGTGCAGTTTTATTTAATCAGTGTGTAAAGACGCGTTGTTTGGTTAACGCCGGCCGACGGCTCTGCGAAATAACAAAAATAACACATATATTTTTTTTAAAGTCCTACGCGAGTGAACAATAAATAAGCCCCCCTCACCAGCCCCTCTACCACCAACAACCCATCAAATTGTGCATAAATAGACCTATTTGATGGCCTAAACTACAGACCATAATGGTTTTGGAGACCTCCGAAGGCGATAGCAAAAAGTTCTTGACCAATTGCCGAAATAACAACAACCAAAGTCCCAAGGAGGCGGAAGATTCGAGAGGGAGTAGCAACACCGCCGCCCATCGGAGTTCCAGTCAGCATCTGCTAGGGGGCGCCAGTTCGGCATCCGTTTCCGTGTCCGGTTGCGGCATGCCCTCCGAGGGCCTCCACCCGACGGCCGCCCTCCAGCTGTATGCCGCCGCCGCCCAACTGGCGCCCGGCGGCGTCCGCGTACCGCCCTGGGGTCCCTTCCTCCAGTTCGGCGTGCCGGGCGTCTTTGGGCCGAACGGACCCTTTTTGGGGCGACCCCGTTTCGATGCCGCTGCCGCCGCCGCCGCTGGCGGTCATCCGAATTCCGCCGCCGCCGCTGCGGCCGCCACACAAATGGCAGCGGTAAATGCCAGCAATGCGTTCGCCAATCTAACGGGACTGAGTGCGGCGGCACTGCGGAACGTTAGTGCCGCCCAAACGACAGCGGTGGCGGCAGTGGCCAGCACAGTGGCCACCATCCAGCACCGCCTGATGATCGGCAACCGGCAGAGCCTGCCGCCGGCGGGACCGCCCAGCGAAGGATCCAACGAGGATGGCGGTAAGTGTCCAAAGGGGAAGGCTTTTCAGATCGCTCTTCACACAAGACCAAAAAGCAGTTCAAAACATACAAGTAGAACTTCTATAACTCGAACCTTTAGCTGCCAAGAAATAAGACTTCATCCAAAAACCCATATTTCAAATTTAGTAAGAGTTGTCTTAAAAATAAACTATTGGCAGTATGCCAGTCTTTCGTTGTGTCGAAAATTAACTAAAGACAGTAAAAATTCAAAACCAAATAATGTAAAGACTTTACTCTGTGGTTACATTTTAAATCCAATGAGTTTTATTTTGTTGTTCTGAGGTGTTTGCTTAATATCGAAAGATCAATTTTGATACCTTCAAAACAATTCAGTAGTATTGAAAGGTTATTCATACTCAATAGTTTAGGTAACAATAGTTTCGTTTTTACATTTATTTTTTGGGTATTTTTACACTATAATGGCAGGATAATAGTTTGACTTGTAAAATAAACCAATTTACTGATATGGTATGCAAAAATGTCATTGTGGCAAATATCCACAAATTAATTAAAATTTGAAATCATCTATGGAGTGTTAGACGAAATTACAAACGTTATCTATAAAATTGCAAAAATTATATTGTAAAAATATATGAGTTCAACTTTAATTAATTAAATAAAAAGAAAACATAATATTCGAGCAACACAAAAACAAAAAAAATCCATTCAATTCCATTCTAAAATTTGATTTCATTTTAGCTAGTTATAATCTGAAAACGGTTTAACTTTGAAAGGTGTTCATAAATTCGATTTTGAAATTGTAACTCTACTAATAGGAAAGAAGTGGGCGGGTCACTTATGTAATCCCTCCCCTTTCTAAAAGACTTAGCTTAGTAAATAGCCTTTTAGATCTGTTATTTGAACCATTTGCCCAAATTCAATGAACCAATCAAGCAATCCAAACAAAGACGACGACATATGATTGAATAATCATTCAATAAAACCTCCCACTCATGTGCTTTTCAAGAGTGAATAAAAGTTCGGTTTGTATAAAGAGAGGAGCTAAGCAAACTAATCGAACTCTTTCAAAATAATTCCATTCGGATGAAGCACAATAAACGCTGTTAAACCAAGTGACTCAACAAGAGATCATTTGAGTGCAATTGAGTAATACCAGGTACTGTGTGACGGATCCGAAAGCTAATCACCGACACGTGTCCATGGTAACCTGAAATTCGCGTCACAATTCGCATTCCTCAGTCTTTCCCATTAAATCAATTTCCATCGCCTACTTTCGCCGAACATTAGCTTTATTGGCATTCAAAGGGGAAATCGGAGATCGGGGATCGGGGATCGGGGATCGGCTAATGAATTATCAAGTCTCACGGAACACGCGCCTCCCCATCGAGAGTGGAGGTCAGCGCCGCCTGATCGATCCATTTGGTCGGATGGGATCCGATCGGATCGCATTTCTATTTCCATCTGAATGCGTACCATATGAGCTACAGATGCTATATAAGCCATAGAACTCATCCTGCTCGTTATCGGTGCCCGGACAATATGCTAATTCATTCAATTAGCCCTGCTAAATGCCTTCGGTGTGTCAGTCATTCACGCTGTTTTTGCTCTAGCCGGAGCTTCTATATCAGCCAAGCCAGTTGTGCTTGACTTTTGCTACCTGCAAAACACATTTATTGATTTAGCTAATCAGCGAACGATTATTATGTAAAGTCCGATTGATTTCGTTGATTTGCATTTAGCATACAAAGTGGTATGCGAACGGCCAGCGATTGTCGCCTGCTGTGCGCCCCCGGAAAAGGTCGCAATCGCCTCCAAATTGGGAACACACCTATGGCTATCCATAGACCATAAACAATAAATAAACTACCCAAAAGCCGTGTTTAAACTGAGACACAAAACAGACGTTATTCAATGTGTGAATCGAGCTCAGATTATTGTTTTGCGATGTAGTTCTTTGATTTCCTTTTTTAATTGGTTTTGATCGGTTGGTTTCTTAGAATTAGGTGAAGAACCTATTAAGGTAGCTCTATCCTTCATTGGAATACTAATTTTTCTATTATTTTCAATCATTTTGCATTTAATTTAAACCTTTTTTATTGACCTTAAAAATAGGTTAAGAAGGTTATCAAGTCAAGTGATAAAGTATGGTTTAATTTAGCTTTTTCACTAAAGACAACGACTATCTTTATTACTATATCTATTTAACTAAATGTTATCATTATCCATCTACTCAAAATGGTGTTTGTGACAATTATGAGTTTTCCTTAATCATTTTGACTTAGCTAAGTGCTATGATTACAATGTATTTTTGATGTAGATTATTACATATATTTCTTATTTTTCGTCGAAAAATAAACAATACCTAACAAAAAAGTTCCAATTAAGATCTCCACCATTTGAACAGCTTAAATGGTATTGTCCATTGGGTAATCAAACAATTGTCTATCCTATTCCGTAATCGTTATAATTCCGGGAAACTCTTGTTAGCTAAGAAAGATCTCTTGACCGCCCCGCAATCTTTCCCATTGAAGCATTAACATGATCTTGTTTGCGGTGAGCGCGACTTTCTTTCTGCCTTCAATCTGTTTGGCCGGACAATTGCCGGGGAGCAATCACTAGACCCGAAATTGATGGGACGCCATTTGCTCTGATCGCCCAGTTGGCCATTAAGTGGAGACGGGAAGGGGAAGGGGAAGGGGGAACGGAGACGATACAAACGGAGGGGGGCAGAGCTGCAAACCGGACTGGAGATCGGGCCCGGCCGTGGCTCATTGACCAATTAGCATTAACAAATGATGGCTAGTTGGTGTAATTATGGCCATAATGCATATATCCAAAGCCGGGGCGTTAGCAAGGGGGCGTGTTGGCCCGCTTGTTGTAATTAACTGCACTTGGCTGGGCTCGCAGTTCGAGTTCGAGTACCGAGTACCGAGTACCGAGTTCTGTCCCCAGATCGGGGAACTAATTAATTGCAGCCAACGCAGAGCCACTTTTGGGGGCACTTCCTTCTTGAAAAGTAATTATTAATTTGATTTGATTCAATTTGATTAGGCTGGCGATTGCAGTGCAGATTGTGGATACGAGAGTGGGTGTTGCCAGGGTTGCCATCGCACTCTTTGCTCATTAATCATTTTGCGGCAGAGAGTTGACATGCAATCCAAAGTCTGGATTTTGATGGGTGTGGGTGTGGGTGGCGATGGTGATGGTGGTGGAACGTCATCATCATCATCATGACGTTTGCTTGCCGTTGCTCATTTCACGCCGGAAATGAAGAAACTGTCATAAGGCGATCGGAATCATTTATCATGCGATTTTCAGTTTTCAGTTTTCTGTTTCCACTTGCGCCACCATTTTGTTTTCTCCTTGTCTTGTTTTCTGGTCCTAATGAATTCCGTATAACCAAAACTTGATGGGTATTGTGGGGTGTTCACATAGTTGTAGAGCACTTCCGTTCCGCCCCCAAAACGGAAGTTGGCCCATTGATGGAACGGCAAAATGATGGCCCGAAGGTTCCATTCCAACGGAATGACTTACTGACTGAATGATAAATCGTTGCGCGCTCTTGCTCCTCACAAATAGATTTTGCCGCAGTCTCAGTTTTCTTATCAAAAAATTGTTATACCGTCGGCTTTTTAAGTATTTCCGCCTTTTAATGGGTTTTTTTTTATTTTCTTCAGACCAATATTTTTTTTTAGTGGAAATGAGAATGAGGAGATTTAACTAATAATTGTGATTACAAAGCCTCTTTATTGTGGATATAAGATAACTTATAAGATAACTTGCACTAGTTCTGTTTTCTTTTTCAAGTGGCGTTTAATTTCTAAAACTAAATAAATAAATTGAATTGTCATTCAATGGGGATAAACTTCTGTGAATAATAACTCTAAAAAACTGTATTGTGCTATATAAACTAAATCCTGCAATGAAAGGTAAAATCGATGTTATTTAACTTAATGAACTGTAATAGATGGGCTTGAAAGTTTTTAATGTCTCATGTTTGAATAATTTGGTTTTTTCTTAATGATAGTGATTAAACTCCTTTAATTTTGGATGGCCAAAACTTGTATAGGAAAAAAGACTGAACCAAGAATACCCCTTCCCAAAAATTCCACCCGTACACCTCTGCCATAATACACCCCTTTCGAACACCCCGTCCCTAAACTTTTTAGTAGTTCTCTCCTCCACCTTTTTTCGCCTTTCTTTCCTGTCTTACCTTTTTTTATATTTTCGCTTTAATTTTTATGACTTAAGTGGCTCACCCGCGAGGATCGAGGGGCGGGGAAGGGGGCGTGGGGCTGGGACAGGGACAGGGCAGCTGGGCGAAGGACGAGGGGTGGGGGGTGTGCTGATTGGCGAGTGGTGTGTGTATATGGTGTGTGCGTCTGGGTAACTGTTATATTGCCTGGCTGACGCGCGCTGTAAACGAAAATAGCATGCCACGGAATGTGACTGAGGCATGCAACAACATACACACACATTTCAGTCATTCTTTCTGATTTAGCCGCCTTTTCATACCCTTATTGGGGGTATCTTAATTTTAGCCAATTGATTGCCCTTCGCCAAAACCAAAAATAACCGTTACTGGGTTTCTCCGTTTTTAAACTGTTTGTGGGCAAGAGCAAATAGATATTTATTTGCGTCTCAAATAATGATTATTTTTGGTCATCTCATTAAAAATTAAATATTTATTCGATATTCTCAGATCTAAAAAAAAACGTTTTTGTTTTGGAACTGATTCTCTTTCGCAATTTTCCGAGAACTTTTGTCCTGAAATATTATATCTAATCCAAGAGGAAAGCTGAAATGGCATAAGCCATAAATCTTTCAAGTTCTCTTAGTTACCAAATTAACTATTTTTAACATTGCAGATTTGTTAAGCACTTTTTAATTTGTTGGTTTATTTAGCTTGAAGAAGATTCTAGAAAGATAATTGAAATCGGGTTACTTTATTGTAATGAACAATTTAAATTTAGAGGACAAAGCATTGTAATAGAATGAATTCGCATATATTTTTATTAAACCAGTCTTTCGATATTTCCGATTTGGACACGACACAAAATCGGGGTCCAAAGATCTCATAAATATGATCAATATGTAAGATTATCTTGATAGAGTACTAGATATTACAGATTCGTTCCCTACAATGTTATACCCAATATAAAATGTTTGATTACAAGGATATTCTATTTAAACTTGGTATAATGCAATTCAAAGACATCGGAAGTAGCGTTATTGAAGTTTTCTATCCTTTTTATTTCCGTTTCATTCCGTTCAGTTTCCATGTCCCTTTCTCGTTGTTCCTGCTTTTAAGGGGTCATGTCGAATCAAAGCAACGTTGCCAAATTTCTGTCTGGCGAATTTGGCGCTGCACATTGCACATTGCAAACTGCACACGCCGGGCGTGCAATAATCATAATAAATTTCAATTATCGTTTGCATTTGCTCCCACACTCGCTCTCGATCTCGTTTTGGTGGCACAAATCACAAGCCACCCGCCGCAAGAGCCAAAAACATGAATTATGTTCCACTCGTCGGGCACTCCAAATGCCCCTTCCCCTTTAGGAAAACCCCTCCCATCCGCCGCCCCTGGAAACTTGGCCTGTTATTATTAAGTCATTTGAATGCACTTTGTGCTGGCCATCTCGCTCGCTCCTTGGCGATTTGTCTGCTCTTTGTCGCTTTGCCTTTAATGTCTCTATTATTGTTGTGTATTTGGCGCTGTTATTGAGTTATTAACCTCTCTTTCGCACACCAAAACGCTTAAAACAAACGAGTTTCTGAGCGCGTAAAAGAGATGGCGAGAGAAGGCGAGAGAGTGGAGAGCCGAAGCGTTACAGTGCGGCACGCATAATTAGGTACACTTAACAGCAGAATGCAAGCCATTCATTAGGGGCGTCCTCTTGTTATTGCGCTTTAATGTCGGGTGTGTGTGCAGTGTGCAGTGTGCGTATGTTGGTAGTCCGCAATTGTGGCAAGGCCGCCAAAGGGGGCGGTGGGCGGCTGGAGGGGTGGTGTCCGTCTAAAAACCGAAATTAATGCGATTACAAAGTCAGCTGAGTGGCGGCGCTTTGAATGGTGTCTGTTCATCACTCGGCGATTCAATGTTGAGCCACTAAATGGCTCATTGTACGCATTTATTTCCCCGAAAGAAAGTCCAATGAATAATTGTGGTAGTCACATCACATCACCAGATCCAGGGATGTATTTAGTGCCCATCGATGGCTATGTATCGATTATTTCGATTGGCATGAGTTAAGTGGGTTATTCAGTTAGCTATGTGAAAATTTATCAAATATTATTCGTCTGTAATATTGTTGTTTTTTATTAAATTTAACAAGAAGTAAAGTAAAAGAATATATAGCATGTTACCTGTTAAAAGTGATTCAAAGAGGTGTGAACGATAAAGGATAATTGATAAACGAAATTGTAGTTTTTAAGTGGGTTATTCGAAGAGTTAAAATAATTTTCTACTTCTTTTACCTCTATTTCCGTAATAAGTTTGGTAATTTAATAAAATAAAATAATTCGTTTTTTTTTGTGTTTTGTAATTATTCACTGAGTTTAATGTGAACGTAAAAAGAATTGTATGTTAAAGCTATGTAAATATATTTTAAATTGCATAATGCTATGTGGTTCTGCAAAATAAATATTTTTTTATACATATTTATTGGGTACTCCTTTCCTAATGCCCAGCACTGTGGTTCCGTTCAGTGTTTGTGGCCATCATCTAATACCCAAACACCTTGGGACCCTTTCCCTTCCGCCAACTTCTCCATTTCCCCAGCCCTCAATCTTTTGGCCTGTTTCTCTTCTGGCCAGATCCGAGTTAATTTGATAAATTGCGGGCCCTTTTGCATGCATTCTGTGTGAATGTGAGTGTTTTGGCCACGCCCCCTTCGGGGGTATAATCTAAATATAGAAAACTATGCATCCTGGGACGGATCGGATCTGATGGGATCGGATCGGGTAGGATCGGATCGGGCTGGAAGGTAATGGAACGGAAGAGCGGGGCGGCATAGAAACGTAATTAAATTGTTTCGTTTTTATTGTGGGCCGGCGGCTGGGAATTAAATGTGGGGAGGGGGGAGTTATGAGTTATACCATGTGGAGTGGTGGGGGGAGGGGGGCGTGGGGGGACACTCGTTTGTAGCCCTTTGGCGGTGTAATTGAAATATATGATTATGAATATTTATGCATTCTGTGTGTGCCCCTGTGTCTCGGCTAATTTAAATAATTCTCCAACACTTAATTATAGGGTTTTTAGTGTCGGGAACAAAGTGTTTTGCTTTTGCGCCCATGTTTCCATATGCGTTTGTTTTCCTTTTTTGTTTTCCCTTTATTTCGGGTCTTTTTGGATAATGTGTGGGTTCGGGGGTTAGTTTTTGGTTTTGGCACCACCCTAATTAGTTTTAATAAGTCAACACCCACCCTCCCCCACCGACCGGCGGGCTAATATTAATGACTCTATTCTGTGTTTTTCGAATTTCATTTAGATTTCCCCATTTTCCGTTTGTTTTCCCTAGGTTTTCCCGGGGACGGCGACGACGACAGCAGTGCGGCCAAGCGCCGGAGGTCGCGCACCAACTTCAACTCCTGGCAACTGGAGGAGCTGGAGAGGGCCTTCTCCGCCAGCCACTATCCGGACATATTCATGCGGGAGGCCCTGGCCATGAGGCTGGACCTCAAGGAGTCGCGAGTTGCGGTGAGTTTAGTTCCAATCGGCTGCAGATATGCATCACCTGCATCACACAGAGAAGAATCCAAAGAACTCTAGGGCAGTATTTGCTTTTAAACAGTCAAAATACAGATTTTTTAAAAGCCCGGATTTGAAAAATAATTTGAAACAATATAGGATTAGTTTTTAGAAATTGATAAATTAATATCATATTTTAATTTCACTATTTGGTAAAAGCTTAGATAAACTTTGAAATATACAATAATTCTGCAATAATTTGAAAGCTTTGTTTTTTTTCCACATTTTTAAACAGTCAAAATACAGATTTTTTAAAAGCCCACATTTAAAAAATCATATTGAAACAATATAGGCTTAGGGTTAGGTTTTAGAAATCGATAAATTAATATCATATTTTAATTTCACTATTTGGTAAAAGCTTAGATAAACTTTGAAATATACAATAATTCTGCAATAATTTGAATGTTTTGGTTTTTTTTCCACATTTTTAAAACGAGAAATTAAATAAATTGTACAATATTAAATTTAATGGGTTTCAGTTTAAGGTATTTTCATTGCTAGTATCAAGAATCTTGGTCTCCAAAACAAAGTACAGAACAGTTCATGTTGGAATTATATAGAATTCTGTGTTATTTTGTCTTGCAACGCACCTACTATGGTTAGGTTAATGTTTTTTGTTTTGTTTTAATATTAGTTTGAAAAGGTTTTTTGCTTTAGCTTTTTCTGAAGTTTCTAAGCCATTTGGAAAAACTTATTCTCTGTGTCTTATATCGTTTTGCGAGCACCTTTGCTGAGATTATACGCTTTGTTCCAGATAGGTATGGTTCCAGAATCGACGTGCCAAGGTGCGTAAGCGCGAGCACACGAAGAAGGGTCCTGGCCGCCCCGCCCACAACGCCCAACCGCAGACCTGCAGCGGCGAGCCCATTCCGCCCAACGAACTCAAGGCCAAAGAGCGGTAAGTGTCCATCGAACAGCCGAAATGGCCCACAAATCAGTTAGAATTCCTCTTTTTATTCACCCGTTCTTAAATGAGTAATAAAACCCATTAGTCGGTAATAAAAATATTAGTTTTATGGCCTAAAATGCTCAAGTGTCAATCGAATGGTCATTTTGATCACCTAAAAATATTTTTTAAATTAACTGCTATTAACTGCTTGGCTTCTAAAAATGTAAAGCTCTCAAACGAGTTGCCATTTTATATTTTTAATCAGGTCTTACAAATTAAAACTGTTCTTAGCTTAATTGTGTATGATTGTATCTTTTTGTATATTAAAATATTTGATAGGCATTATTTCAACACACATTGTTGTTGATGAGATGTATTAATTAAGTATACATTGTTATATTTTTATTTTGAATGGTTTATTTTAAAAGAGAATTGATATAGAAGCTTGAATGATTGTATACTTTATTTAATATGAATTATAGATGTAAATTACTTTATTGAAGCCCTATTTAAAGGATTACATTACATTTTTAAGCATATTTTTTTTATATCGGAAACCCTTTTGTACTAATGTGAACCCTTTTCCCCCATTTTTCTATATTGCAGGGCCCGTCGCCGAAAGAAACTGGCCAAGGCGATTGACCGACAGGCCCGGAAACTGCAGGCCAAGGGCATCACCGTGGACTTGGAGGCCCTGAAGGCCGAGTACATATCACAGCACAAGGCGAACGGCACCTTCTCCGACTCGGATCTCGAGGACGATGGCATCCAGATCGACGTGGTGGGCGGCACGGATAGCGACGACGAGGGCGACAGCGATGCGGTCAGTCCGGTCCGCCTGGGTGGCGGGGGCGGCGGAGGTGGTGGTGGCACCGGCGGAGGCGCCTCCTCCCAGCAGAACTCATCGATCCACTGCGGCCTGGATGGCGATGGGGACAGTTCGCGGGCGGGCAGCTTCATCGGCGGAGGCGGCAGCCTTGGCAGCCCCAGTTCGGTGGCCCCGCCCTCGATGCTCTCGAATGGGGCGGCCGGCGGCGGTGGCTCCATATTCGGCAAACTGGAGCCCATGGACGGCAATGAGTCCGAGGAGCGGGACAGGGAGAACTCGCCGAAGCCACTGCTCTTCCCCGCCAAGGCCTTCCATCAACTGAACCTGCAGAGCAGCCAGCAGCACCACGGCCTGGTGGGTCAGGGTCAGGGATCGGGGTCGGGGCACCAGCACCAGCACAACCACCACCACCAGCACCACCACCTCCATCATGGCAGTGCATCCGCATCGGCGGCGGCGGCAGTGGCCAGTCTGGTGCACCAGACTTCGCCGATCAGCATGCGCCGGAGCAATCCCTTCAGCATCGAGTCCCTGCTGTTCAACAACACGTGAGGAATCCACGCAAGGATCTCGATCCAACCGAGCAACCCGGAACTTTTCAACACCCCAATGATTTTCGCGTTCCTAGAATATTTTGCTCAATTCTCTACAAGCCCCCTCCTCTCTAAGTTTTACCACATGTATCTTCGGTTCAGAGCTTGAATATTCCCTAAGTGATTTATTTATTCAAATGTATTTTGTAATGTATTTTTTTTTTATTAGACCTTGTTCCCAGAGAGAGACTAAATTAGTGTTGTAAATGAATTAATTATTTTTACTTCCTATATATATATATACATATATAAATACCCTTTTTTTTAGAGTGGCTGATGCCCAAAGCAATGCTTGAAACATGAATAATATAATTATGTAATAGAAGTGTATTTACTAAGGACATTTTTTTTCAAACTGAGAGTGCGAATAAGTGTGTGTGTGTGTGTGGGTGAGTGTGTGTTTGTGTGCGAGAGAGCCTGTGTAAAAATGTAATTTAATTTAGCAAAACAAAATAAAAATGATGAAGGGAAACACAAAGAATTGCATAGAAATCCACAAGTTAAGTAAGCGGAATTTTTTTTGTGTCGAAAAAAAGCAGGCTAGTATATTACAAATATGAGAAAAACCCCCACAATATTACATATAGAAATGCAAAGAACGGCGAAATGGCTGCTAAAAATTATATTGTATCTAAAAACTGATTGTCAAACAAGAATAAAATGCGAATCTGTAAAGAGAGAAAAACCACATAAACAACAAGTTACGATTATTATTTCCCCTTTTGATTTCCACTCGAGCTTAACCACAATAAAAATAAAAAACTGCGCAAGGTCCCAAATCCCAATCCAGAAAATTACCCAATCCCCAATGAAAAACAACAACCAACCCAAATCGGGGAGAATTCAATAAACGGCAATTTAAATGGCATCAAAAATACACTTAAATCTGATATTTGAAAGTGTTTTCCTCGAGGAATGGCGTGAAAATGTTTGCGATTGTCCAAAATGGCTGGAAAGGATATATTCGGCCGACTCTTAATGGCACATCATCTTTGGAGCATTAATATTATGGGCCACAAATAAATATTCTCTTGACCATCGAGGCAAAGGAATTGAGGTTGTAGGAACTGGAAACAATTCGTTCTTTAAATATGGAAACATCACGTTTATTATTCTCTAGAAACCCATTAGAAATGATAGAATGGAAAGACTTCCCCGTCGGCATTTGCAATTTCTCAATTTCACACGGTTCGGATCCTAACGGATTTTGACTACACGATATATATTTAAATATATCTTTCTAGAGTCAAGCTTATTTACTCGCGTTGCCTCTTGTCACTGTAAAAGTTTGGTTTATAGACTAGTAACCCACTATTTTATTAGGAATATTTAAGGTTTATCCGATTTTTCAAAGAAACCCAATATCTTCGTAGATTTGTTGCCTTCTAATTAATAAATCAATTTTGCGACTTACCAAGAAAGTATCTCAAAAATCTCATACACTCCTTGCCATTTAAAATGGGACCAAGTCTTTGAGTTAGCCCCATTAATCAGGCTGCAACTCAAGTCCCAAATCGGTGGGTCTCTGGGTCCATAGCCGACTTGCGGTTTGGCAGGGAAGTCGGTCCCTGGACAAAAAAGACCCCATGGAGGGATCTTGGGATCTTGGGAATGGGGAAGAGCGGGAGACCTGTCCCAAAGACGAAGGCCGGCAAAGTGTCAATTGAATTTGCATTCGGGCGTTTCGGCCAATCTCCGCGCATGGAGAAACGGTACAACCGATTAACCGTTTCGGCTTCCTCACAGCGGGGGAGGCGGCAAGAGGGGCGGGGCAGCGGTCTGAAGCGGTCGCTTTCATGGGAATTTGTGGTGTACTTCATTTCATGGCAATTTTATTGCTTATTAATTTTTCAGTGTTCGCGCTTTCGACCCTCCTCTTTCCCCCCCAAATCCCCAGATCCCCCCTTGTGCCGCCCCTGTATTTGTGGCATGCTGTTAATGGCTTCACCTGGTTGTTATTGTTGCCTGTTGATATGATTATTACGTTTATGGATTTTAATAATTGTGCATGATTTGGAAGATTTTCCACGTCTTCATCTTGATATTTCGGCTTGGAGTCCCGGTCTTCAGACTCGTGCCCCCGTGGCGCGTTCATAACTTCTCTTCCATTTCTTTCTGTTCCACCTTTTTTGTGGCTCAATTACTTTTCGATGCAAATCAAATTGGCCGCTCTTAACTATTCTTCACACGTTTTTCATTAAGTTTATTTGTGCGTATGTATACAAATAGTCGAGCCATTCCCAGCTCCTTAAGCCTTTAAACCTTTAAACCTGACCAGCGATAGTGCCTGCCCATCTCATTCGTTCGCTTTGGCCTGCGCTTTGTTGTAAATGAGTTTTTTATTGAGCTGAAAATATTTTTGTTAAGCTTATTGTTCATTGTCTGATTGTTTATTGGAGGCCAATCGACGTTTGGGATATGGGTTCGGTATTTAAGGCTATGAAGTGCCCTACAAGGAGCTCAAAAGATGGACTCATGGAATGACACTCCTTAATTGAATGAAAACAAGGAGGATTCGCGTATACCCGAACTAATCAATGTTCGGTCATTCGTTATGTTTGAGTTAAACCGGCTTAAAATAAATGTTTTTTGGTTGAATCAACCAAATTTTACAATCAATTTTACTGCCGTTCCTCTTTGGTTAGTGTAATAACTGTAAAATGACTCTGACAACTGCTAATAAAAGTTGTTCTCCCACTTGTGCATTTATAATTCTCAACTGGTAATAGCTCTCTCAAGACATGGTCATCACAGATACAGTTTATTACAGATACATTTAAGAAAATAGTACCAACAATTTTTGACTGAAGCCTTTTGACTGTCTACTAGGTTGAAGTATTAGTATAATTGAATAAAAGTAGTGATAAGGCAGTAAGAAGAGCTGCCAACAAATATCCAAAAACTTTGTTTATCATAAAGTAGATAGATAGAACATATATTGGAACTGGGTGGAACTTTAAGAACTGTAATATATCATGGGAAACTTCTGTTTAATAATTCAAAAACAGAACACATTAAAAATGTTTTCACAAAAATATCCTACTATCCAAATTTTAACCTTCTTAAACTATATACAATCTTTCTTCCACATTTTCTCGCCTTAAGAACCAAAATGCCCGATACCAATGCAAAGTAGAGGTCCATGGTGCTGGCAGTGATGATGATCACCCTACGTTATAGCGCTTAATCGAAATCAATAAAGTTATTAAAGCGACGCTTTTAAGTTTTCTGTAACAGATTCTTAAGCCAACAACAAGGGGCCCCAACAAAAGGGCCAACAATGGGGATTAGCGCTCCATCATAAAGCGGCCAAATGGCGAGCAGCTCGGGATCCCGAAACATGAAACATGAAACATGAGAAACCCGGGACTTGACTTCGGATCTGAGAATCAGTGAATCAGTGAATCCCAGAGATGATTGTCATAATTATGGGCATTTTGGTGTTTGCGGCTCTCTCGACTTATCGACTTGGTCCCGGGAGTTGCTTCCATTTCAATTTCGCAGCGGGAGTTCTGGGTTGCCGAACGCTAATCAAAGTGTTTATCGTGGCCCGATCGTTTGTATTATGATTTTTGATGCCTTAATTTATTCACACTCTGAATAAACGTGCAACACTCGGCTGTTTTGGTGTTAATCTTTGCGCCTTGCCCCGTTCGTTTTCTATTTGCCTTTCGAACGCTTTTCAATTTTCACAGCGGGCATTCCGCTGGGGTCAACCCGAAACTCAACTCCCAAAATCCGGACTCTCATCCATATCCATCCAAACAATGTTTGTAATTTATTTCATTGTGCGATGATTAGCAGCATTTCTCGTTGGGCTGAGGTCGATGTTAAGGTTGAGGTTCAGGTTCAGGTTGTGATTCAGTTTAGAGCCCAATCGACCAACAGTTGCTCCACTTTCTTTGTTTTGATGCCGTGTTAAGATCTCGTCGAGCATCGTAGCATCGTAGTATCTCGACCTTATTAGTTCATAGTTATGGTTATTGGCATAGTTTATGACTCCACGCCGAATGTCGGCGTTCATCCGCTCCATTGTCCGATTCCAGGTAGCAGGTAGGCCACAAATTGAAAAACCTCTGCTCGGGCCAAAAGGGAAAATCTGAGCATATTGTTATAATTGAGTTTCTGGTTTTCTACCCATCTTTCTGCCACGCCCCAGAGAGTAGCTATATGCGGATGGTTATATGGGTATATGGGTATATGGGCATATGGGGGTTGGCTCAACACGGGGCGCTGACACCAAATATCATAATAATGAACTCGGCAGTAGCGCCTGGACCCGAACCGGGTGTGAGTGACTTTTAATTTACTTCAAATCCGTACTCAACTACATGACTCCCGGGGGGGAGTCGCATCCGCATCCGCATTCGCATCCGCATCCCCACCCACTCGTACGTCCTTCGTTTTTTTCACCCGCTGCGGCAAGTGGCACGTCCTCCGCGGAGCACTAACACTCACCTCGAGTCCTTGGTGTCCTGTCCGCTGGGTTATGACTTGGGTATCTGGTGAGCAACCACCGGAGAGGCCCCAGTTCAACACTGGTCAGCAAAATACAGGCTTTATTTTTATGATGAAACACGTATTAAAAAAGGTTCAAGTGCAATATATTTTAATATTATTTTATTTATGTTATAAAAATAAATTTCTATAGAGACTTTCCAATATAATAATACAATTAAATAGAAACATTCTAATTACATTATAAAACTGTTTTAAAAGGGATTCCATTCTGTTCATAAATCAAAATGATGCATTGTTTATAAACTCATTATATTTACTTACTCACATTGGTAACTTATTTTGGTAAAATAAATATTATAGCTCCATAAAAATATATCCCTTTGGCTTTTGAAATAAAAAACAAAAAGAAAATACACCTTGTGTTTATAACCCCTGAACCTGTTGAGCAGTGTAACAAGCAAGTGAAGTCAAAAGTTTTCATATTTTGCCACCCTCAAACGTTGTGCCCTCTCTTTCTCGCCACCGGCTGTCATATCTAGCCGTCTCTGTTTCCCGGCGAACATCATTAATTTGTTATACGGAGATTATCTATTTTTATTGTTATTAATGGCAAACAATTTATTAAGCCAGCCGCCGAGACGAGGACTCACACATGCCAGGACCTGGAAAATAGGGAAAAGGACAAGGACCAGGACCAAGGATCAGAAATAACTATTCAGGGGCGAGTGGGGGGAGGGGGGAGTCATGTAAATCAAGGAAGTTTCACTAAACTACGTGCGGGTGTTGCTGCAGATGGATTGCTCATTATGTCCTGCCCAAAACCAGATGGATATGTATGCCAGGGGTGGCGGAAAAGGGGCTGTAAAGGGGGTCATACGAAGGGGGAGGGGGTGGACGGGCTGCTGTCTAAGGTGTTGACGTCCTGCACTTTGCATTTATTATTGTTATTGTTCTCACTGTTGTTTTACACAGAAGAAACAAAGCAGTAAATGTATTACATTTCACAACAAAATATTAAATGATTAGAAAACATTTTTTCCTTTACGTTTATTCAAATCAATTTTTCCTAAAATACTCTATGTTAAGTTTTTCTTTAAATAAAATATTTTCTTTAATATTTAATTAACATACTACGATATTTAGACTGGAAAATATCGTCTATATGTAAGTGCAAAAATAAAAGTTTGTTTCACCATTTTTAATATCGATTCTATTTTATTTTCCTTTTTGTTTTATTATATAACACAGGATATATAATTCCTTTTAATACAATCATTTAAAATAAAGGTGAAGCAACATTTTCTTTGTGTGTTCTCAAGTTGCTGCTGTGATGTTGCTGTGGTGAAGTTAGTTGCTAGCGCCTTGAGGTCCTGGTTCCTTTGGTCAGAGGACTC